AGCAAAGAGGCATGGCTGCCTGGGGAGATTGATGGAAGGGGATGGAGGCTTTGAAGGGTTAAGGGAACACAGAAGTAGGGATGCTAAGGGGGAGGTGGTTGGGGGGGTGAAACTAGAACATTACTGGGGGTCATGTGTAATGCTCCCTCTAAGCTGTGGAGTCTTGTGAGCAAACATTCTACCTTGTGAGCTAGAAGAGAAGAAGAAGAAGAGATTGGATTTATACCCCGCCCTTCACTACTCAAAGGTGTCTCAGAGCGGCTCGCACACTTAACCACGACACCCGTTCTTCCCTTGGTCACTTGTAAGCTTGAATCTGTGCGCGCCCCTAATATTTGGCAGCCCCATCTTGCCTGTTTCCTGCCCCCCACAATCTTTCCTCTGCTGGCAAAGGCATAACCTGCCCCCTCCGTGAATTTGGTAAGGCCTGCCCATAGCTCTTTGTGCATGTTCAATGGAAAAGAAGAAGAGAAGAGGTTGGATTTATACCCCGTCCTTCTCTACCCAAGGGAGTCTCAGAGCGGCTTACAAACTCCTTTCCCTTCCCCTCCCCACAACGGACACCCTGTGAGGTAGGTGGGGCTGAGAGAGCTCTGACAGAAACTGCTCTTTTTCAAGAACAGCTCTGACAGGACTGTGGCTTGCCCAAGGTCATCCAGCCAGGTGCGAGTGGGGGAGTGGGGGAAGCAAACCCGGTTCTCCCAGATTGAAGTCCACGCACTTCACCACGACACCAAACTGGCTCTCCTCGCTACTGGCATTCAAGTTGTGACATGAGCGATTTGGCTATTGCATAAATTAGTTTCCTCTAGAGTCCATCCCTTCCTGAGCTAAGACAAAAATGTGTGAGCCGGAAGCTAAAAAGCTGTGAGTTAGCTCACACTCACGCAGCTTAGAGGGAACACTGGTGGGGGGGTGTGAGAGCGTCAGACAGACACAGGAAGCACCTGGATCTTGGAATGACCCCTCTTTTGCCTTCTAGGAAAGGGGAGATTGAGATATGCGCCCGGGCCTATGTCAAGATGTGTCTCCACGCTGCCCGCTATCCCCACACGGCCGTGAATGGGCTGCTCTTGGCACAAAAGCGCCGGGCGACGGTGGCCGGACAGGCTGACTGCCTCTGCGTGACAGACTGCGTCCCCCTCTTCCACAGCAACTTGTCTCTCACTGTGATGCTGGAGGTGGCTCTGAACCAGGTGGGAGCAAAGGGTTAGGGTGGCCTGTGGGACTCCAGGAGACTGGGCCTCTTTTCTCGTGACGTTTTGAGGGCTGTAAATGAATCTGCTCGAAGTGCAAGCGCAGGTTTAGGCTCCCACTCCCTCTCCCGGGAGTCCCCAACAGGGTGCCCGCGGGCACCGAGGAGCCTGCCAACACCTTTCCCGTGGCCCACATGGGGTGTTAGAAAGTAGGTGGGGCTTTCACCCAGCAAGGCTTCTGATTGGCCACTGGGAATTTGACTGGCTGTGCGGAATTTTTAAAACGCAACTTTGGCGGCCGCCGCCACCACTGCACAAAGATCTTCGCTGTGGAAGGTCGGTCGTTCAGCAGTTCGAGACCCGAGTGCGCCGCATGACGGACTGAGCTCCCGTCTCTAGTTCCTGCTCCTGTCAACCTAGCAGTTCGAAAGCGAGAAATTGCAAGTAGATAAATAGGTACCACTTTGGTGGGAAGGGAACAGCGTTTCGTGCGCCTTGGTGTTTAGTCATGCCGGCCACATGACCATGGAAACGTCTTTGGACAGCGCTGGCTCTTCGGCTTGGAAACGGAGATGAGCACTGCAACCCTAGAGTCGGACTCGACTGGCTTTCGAGCAAGGGAAACCTTTACCTTCACTTCCTGGGGCAGCCGTTTTATGGCTGCGCCTACTGCCCTGGGTCAGAATTTGAAAGGTGCCCGTAGGTTGTTACCGGAACTGTGGTCAGAGCACATATTCATCTGGTGCTTTGCCAGCTGCACTGGCTCCAGACTGAACACCAGATCGAGTTCAAGCTGTTAGTTTTAACCTTTAAAGCCCAACACCAACAAACCTCCGGGACCGCCTCTCCTGGTATACCCCCCCCCAAGAGCATTATGCTCACAGAATAAAGATCTTTTAGTGGTTCCTGGTCCAAGGAGCATCCGATTAGACCCGATCAGAGGCAGAGCCTTCTCGGCCTTGGCCCCGACCTGGCAGAACGCTCTTCACTCTTCCAGCTGAGATTCAGGCCCTGCAAGACCTTTTACAGGTCTGCAGGGCCTGGAAAAGGCCCATGGTGGCTCAGAGGTTAATACGCTAAAGCTGCAGACTGGAAGTCGGTCAGTCAGCAGTTCAAGACCCGGGTGCCGCTTGACGGAGTGAGCTCCTGTCTCTGGCCCCAGCTCCTGCCAATTTAGCAGTGCGAAAGCAAGAAATTGCAAGTAGATAAATAGGTACCGCTTCGGTGGGGAAGGTAACAGCGTTCCGTGCGCCTTGGTGTTTAGTCATGCCAGCCACATGACCATGGAAACGTCTTTGGACAGCGCTGGCTCTTCAGCTTGGAAACAATGAGCACCACCCCCTAGAGTCGGATTCGACTAGCTTTCGAGGAAGGGAAACCTTTAACTTTTTTTAGGGCCTGTAAAACAGAGCTGTTCCACCAGACCTATGGCCCAGGCTTCTTACTGAGGAGAAAAACAACTCCACCTCCCATTTCTTTTCTTGTGGACTTTCCCCCCAGCTTTTGATGTGGTCAGAGCTTTCTCCCATGAGATTACATTGTTCATGTGCCACCTGACTGTTGTAATTTGCAGCTTAAATTGTTTTAATTGTGCCATCGACTGTGATTTATGTTTTAAAATGTTTTAACTGGTTCGTGATTGTGTTATTAATTCTGTTGTTAACTTGCTCGAGGCCTGCAGTCGCAGGGAAGGGCGAGTCAGAAATTGAATTAAATAAATACATACGTACATGGCTATGTCAGCTGGTGAAAAGCAAAACGCCATGACAAGTCTTGTGACAGTTCTCAGTTTTTTGGCAGATTGATCTCTGGAGCGCGGAGTCGGATTTGCTCCTTGCTGGCTACTACCAGGCCAACTCCGGGATTGATGACAAAAGGTACTTTTTGGGGAGTCGGGCTTTGGCGATCGGGTGGGGAGGGGGTCTCTGTGTCTTGTCCCTGACCCCTCCTTTCTCTGCTCCTTGCAGCCCTTCCCCCCTCGCGCAAAAGACGGCTGGACGTATCGCGGAATTGTACGATGACGCGGTGCTAATAATGGTGAGAATGGTGGCTCTAATGGGGACAGATTCTTCCTGAAGACAAAGGTCTAGACCAGGGGTGTCAAACAGGCGGCCCGGGGGCTGGATAAGGCCCCCCGGAGAGCTTCCATCAGGCCTGCAGTGGAACTGGCCATCTCCTGCTTCCAGTTCTGCTGCTGCTGCTGCATCATGGCTTGCTTCGCCAGACTCCCTCAATTGCTCAACCATTTCATGTTTTAACCTGGGCCCCGGACTCCAAACTCTGAGCATGAGATTTCTGTGGCGAATGTCGATAAATCAAAAGTAGGGTTGCAGTTTACAGGGCTAATGTTTTAAGCTTGTTTTTATTTTAAGTTTAAAAAAAATCTTCGTGTTTGTGTCCTTTATAAAGTTTATATCTCTGCTACCTGGCATGACATTTTATGACACACGTGGCCTGGCCCGACGAGGTCTCATTTATGTCAGATCTGGCCCTCGTAACAAATGAGTCCGACACCCCTGGTCTTGACTCAACTACATTTAGCCACAACTGATCTCCAAGGAACTAAGATCCCAGGGAGAGGCCCTCTTGACTGTCCCATCGATCAAAGAAGTTTGTCTGATGGGCGCGTGGGAGAGTGCCTTTTCGGTGGCAGCCCCATGATTATGCAACAACCTCTCCCCGGTGGCGTGCCCGGTCCCCTCACTGTCAGTCTTTCGAAGGCAGTTGAAGACGGTTCAAATTTTGTTAGTCTTTAAGGTGCTACTGGTCTCTTGGTCTTTTCCTTCATGACAGCGTTCGATTAGTTCTTCTGCCTACCGGCAGTTTAAAATTACCTTTTAACTTGTGTTTTTAATATATTGTATTCTTTACATTGTAAGCTGCCTTGAATTCTTTTCTTTTCTTTTTGTAAGCTGCCTTGAATTCTTATAAGGTAGAAAGAAAGCTAATAAACATTAGTTGTTGTAGATTTTCTGGGCTGTGTGGCCGTGGTCTTGGCATTGCAGGACCTGACATTTCGCCAGCAGCTGTGACTGGCATCCTCAGAGGTATAACACAGAAAGGTGGAGTACTCCCTGTGTCAAGGTGAGAAGAAAAATGGTAGGCAGGTAATTTATATCTACTCAGGAAGGTGGGGTAGGGCCGAGTCATTATCTTGTAGGAGCTCCCCAGGCTGTGGCATGCTAATGGAGGAGCTTTCCTGAGGAGGTTCTTTTGCATATGGATTGGCTGTTGAAACTCTAATCTTATCTGTAGTGCTATTGTAAGGTGTAGAGCATTTTGTGTTTTTCAGGTGCGGACTCTAATCTGGGAGAACCGGGTTTGATTCCCCACTTGCACCTGCTGATGTGACCTTGGGTCTGTCACAAGCTCTGGCACAGCTGTCCTTGAAAAAGAGCCGTTTGTGCCAGAGCTCTCTCAGCCCCACCCACCTCCGGCCACATGACCATGGAAAACGTCTTCGGACAGCGCTGGCTCTTCGGCTTGGAAACGGAGATGAGCACCGCCCCCTAGAGTCGGATTCGACTGGCTTTCGAGCAAGGGAAACCTTTTAATGGCAACTCTGCAACATTTCAGGCAGAATCTCTGTTTCACAGGATGCCTTTCTGAACGAGCATATCGTTTAAAAATATTTTCTCGCGTACTCCGCTTACCTTCAGTAACACAGGGGAGATCCTTGTGCTGGGGGGGGGGGAGCTATCGCTGAAGCAACTTTTGAAAAATCCGCACAACCCACCAAATCGCCAACGGCAAATCAGAAGCCTTGCTGGGCAAAAGCCCCACCCACTTTCTAAAAACACTGGGAGGGCCCTAGTAAAGGTATCTGTGGGCACCACGTTGGGGATTACTGATCGAGTGATTACTGATCGAGTGGAACGCGCTGTTGAGCCACAACGGAGCCCGTCAGGTTTTCAAGGCAAGAGACGTTCACAGGTGGTTTGCCACTGCCTCTTACCCGTTATGTAACTTTTACAAATATTTGCTGACTGTGGCCCCCTTTATAATTGCACTTGTGCTCACGTAAGCAACCTGAGAAGGGAGGTTGTAACGATTTCATGTTTATTTGTGTGTGTGTCTTTAAAAGTTTAGTTTACCTTGCTGTGTGAAAGTCTAGTGTGGTTGAAATAGGCAAGTGGTGTGATTGGTGAGTGACAGAGAGGGGGAGGGTTTTTGACCATGGAAAAAGTCTTCGGACAGCGCTGGCTCTTCGGCTTGGAAACGGAGATGAGCACCGCCCCCTAGAGTCAGATTCGACTGGCTTTCGAGCAAGGGAAACCTTTTAATGGCAACTCTGCAACATTTCAGGCAGAATCTGTTTCACAGGATGCCTTTCTGAACGAGCATATCGTTTCAAAATATTTTCTTGCGTACTCCGCTTACCTTCAGTCACACAGTGCTGGGGGGGGGGGGCCTATTGCTGAAGCAACTTTTGAAAAATCCGCACAGCCCACCAAATCGCCAACGGCAAATCAAAAGCCTTGCTGGACAAAAGCCCCACCCACTTTCTAAAAACACTTGGAGGGCCCTAGTCAGGGGTCATTTCGTAGACAAAGAGGTGCAGGAGCTCATTAGCATAACTTATTTGCATATGCCACTCCCCATGACATCACCAGAAGTGTGTCAGAAGGCAACACCCACTGCAACTTACCTATCTGCTTCTTGCTCCTCATGGCCCGGGGCTGCTGGGAGCAGGGGGCGGGGCTTGTTGCATGTGCCCGCCCCCTGGGCTCTTTACTGCCGGAGCTCCACTCCTGTGCGCTCCTGCAGGAAATGACCCCTGGCCCTAGTAAAGATATCTGTGGGCACCACGTTGGGGATCACTGATCGAGTGTTTTCGTCAGGTTTTCAAGGGAAGAGACGTTCACAGGTGGTTTGCCACTGCCTCTTACCATTTATGTAACTTTAAAAAATATTTGCTGACTGTGGCCCCCTTTGTAATTGCACTTGTGCTCGCGTAAGCCACCTGAGAAGGGAGGTCCTTCTTATTCCCACATCGCAGCT